TATTCTCACAAGTGGCTACTTGGAAGCCTTACAAACAAAAATGTCCTATTTGGGCCCCAAACACCTGTTTTCGTTTGAGAAATGTTGCTAACCTGTTTTCAGCAAAAAATCCTAAATCAAAGATCTAAAGGTACAAGCAACGGAGAAACAAAGCAAGAAAGCAGGTAATTTCTGTATTTTTATGCCACCAAAGCATCTGCAGTGTGGTTGCAGTATAGCGATTTACCTATATGTGTGTGTGTGTGTGTGTGTGTGTGTGCGTGTGTGTGTATTCGCTAATATTTGAGGACTTAAGCTTGAATGCACACCTTTATAACGAGGACTTATTGCCCTTAAGAGGACTTACACTCGAGTCCTCGCAAAGAAATCCACAAATTTGATTACTTTTTAGCATCTGTATTGTTTTAAACAAAAATAAACGAGTCCTCATTTTGGTGGTTATACTAGAAACCGATACACACTCTACGCACAAAATTATCTGTCACGTGACCTTGAAGTGTGTATGAACTTATGAATATTCGGATCTCTTCGTTAATTTCCGGTACACTCGAGTGTAAGTCCTCTAAAGGGCAATATGTCCTCGCAAACAGGTGTGCATTCAAGCCTAAGTCCTCACATATACGATCATTGTGTGCTAGACACGTGTTTCTAACCAAGCGTCTACAGATCTAGATATTCAATCGTGATTAAAATCCTGTTTGCTGAGGAAAATCAGTTTTAACATATATTTTTCGGTATTTTGATAAATATTTAATAGTTATGGCTTTGGATTCTTCAAAATCTGTGGGCTATATTCAACTGTATCATTGCTATGAAATGATAAATTGCATGGATTTTTGCACATCAAGGGGAAATTTATTTCATGCAGACAGTTACAAAAAAGAGAATTTTTCTGTTCAGTAAAGATAATTTTATGAAAGTTGCAGACTTTACAGTGCGAAGTTCCTTCAAACATCCATTGGTAGTCAATATAATTTAAGTGCTAATCTAAATATTTAAACATGATTACTTGTCAGCAGCTTTTGAATAGCAATTTGAACTGTTATCTCATCTTCTGTAAGATCATCAAAAGATTAACGTTTTAATAGACGATTGTAATAACACTGCATAAAAGATTAAAATTGAAAATGTATGCTGTTTTAGAGGCCACATGGATGTTTTGTAGGTGCAAGCAATAGTCCACGTCAAGTTATCTATCAAGGACCATTTACGACGCCCACATTCATTTCTATTATGATTCCTAAAATATGTAAATGTATTGTGATATCATAGTTCCATGATAATGCTATTATCTGTTGGACAAAAGAATTTATCTTATGATAGTGTCGAATAATTTAGGGGCAGCTGATCTCAGATCCCTGCTCATGAGGATTCTACCAATTATGTATTAAACCTTGTATCATTTTCTCAACATTAAACATCCATCCCTCGTTGAATAAATGCCCAAGGTATTGATGAAAAAAGTAGAATCATTCTAGCAATTTCCATAAAGATAATACTGGTGCTTGTTGATCTGTCACTGCTTAGTCTAATAACTTTCAGCTTGCTAAGACTAAATTACTTTTTGATTAGGCAGTACATAAGTAATGCATAAACGTATAATACTACACGTTGTTATCAATTGAAATTTAAAAAAAAATATCAATTTCAACTGTTATCTTTGGCTGTACTTGTGGTAAGTGACTAAATGCTGTGTGGCATATGTAAAAAGTCACCCCGTTCTTCATTATAGAGTTGTTATATTTTTCTGGTCCTTTGGGATAACAGGATCCAGCACGTTTAGTGTAAAGAATTGAGTACCGCTCAAGCCGGTGCTATGGGCGTGAGAGATGTTGCGCTTTTCATTATCCCTCGTGAACAGACTCAATTAAACCGAGTCTGCTTTTCTCATCTGATGTTGGTGTGTTAAGTGCTCCGATGTATCACTGTTTTTACGGATCTTTAAATTGAAACATATCATATGTATATTTTTTTCGAAGAACTTTCACACACTGACACAAAAATAGAGAAAATATAGAATCCCTAAAGAAAGTCCAAAATGACATAATTGAAAATGTTGCAAGCTTGGTTTGATTGAGCCTGTTTATGGACGGTAATGGAAAATGCAAGTTACCATCAACGCACCCTAGCGCCGGCTTAAGCAAATTTCATCATTTACAAAAGATAATGGTGAATTTTGAATTAAGAATCATCCGCAGATACAGGGAACACGCGTTTAGCGCAATAATTCAATAAACGTATGCTGAAGTTGTAGAAAACAATTAACTATTGCCGTGGATATGAAAATATTTAAAATCTAATGGAATATGGAGACATAAGACTCTTAGTCCTATTACTTTTTGAACAACTCTCGTATGTTCATAAGGCGGTGATCATGGAACCTTCAATGTGACACGTAAGCACCATTCCATAAACAGCTGCCTGGGGACGTTGGGGTTTTACACGGGGGTGGAACCCCATATGAATCTCAAAAATGAGCATCGGTAAAAATGATTTATTTCCGCTGCACCAGATGTGAAGCATAACACCAGATGTGACTGCAAAAATAGGCCGATCGCAGGGTAAGTTTTCATCTTTTTAAACATTTATATAAAATTCAATCCTTTTTTTAAGAAAATCGAAATGATTCTACCCTCCTGACTCTCCTCTATATTAACTATTGTTGTTTTGGATTTCTATGCAGTCTTCACCGAGATATTCTTTCCGTCGTGGGTTCTGGTGTGTCCAAAACATGCAATGTGAATGAAGAAAATGTCACTAAACGGTCTCAAAAAACAGAGATTTTACGAAATCTCACTACAAGTCGATGCTAAACATTCAAACAAATCCTGAGATTCGGCTACATACAAGGGAATCGCTGCTCAAAATTACATTTGAGCTCCAGATGTTCTGAAGAGATTCATAAGTGATGTAGAAAATCATCTACAAAACTACGGACCACTTTCATATAATCATTGAATAGTCAATCTATAGAAACAATATAGGTTTTGCAGCTTTGGCTGAAAGTTCAACATTAGTGTGTTTGATTACCACAGTGACAGAGCTTACTAGCTTATGCTAGCATTAGAAATACTAAAAGGCCCGAGTACATGAAAATGTTGACGTAGAGCGGATAGTACTCTTATGATAAACAATTCACGAATAAATGATATGTAACTTGGACAAACCAAACTGAAAGTATTGAACTTTGTAAAGCTATCGTGTCATATAATATGTTTCTATAATAATGTTTACTCATAAAAATATCTATCACTTTAATATTCCACAAGTTATAGTTATAGCGACATACTGTTATGTGTAAATATCATGGCCTGATGCGACATCGAAGGTTTACTTTACAGAATATGGGCCGTGAACATTGTCTGTAAGGAAAACCCGAGATGCCGCCCCAGGTCATAATATTTCTACATAATAGTAAGAGTTCGATATATTATAACTGTTTTATCGCATGATAAACAGAAATGAGAATTTTTAATAAACATAAAATTTCAATTTATGATTGGCTTCTATGGACGGGTTTTTGCCGTTTCTATAATCATCATAATAATAATGAAACTTAATAGTTGTGAATTGAATATTAAGCGTTTTTTCTTTGAATTGGAAAAAAGTAATACGTGCACTTTCTGTTGAATTCTTGGACTTTGGAGTCTGCGATACGCGGAATCTTTTGACCCATGGTGACAATCTAAATGGTTTCCAGTTTTGTTTCCTACTTGAATATTGTATTATTATTTTTAGGATATGTTGCCTACTTATCATATTGTCTTTCTAGCTGGCGCCATATCTGTGACATGCAAGCTTCATAATCCCCGATATCCTTTCAAGCTTCTATTTTATTTGTATTCACCCATTGTTTTGTTGGGAGAAAATCCCTTGACCGCCAGTAGGAAAGCCGGTATCCGAAATCATATTTGGTTAAAAGTAATCCCGGGAATCGTTCATTGATTGTTTCTTTCTGCGTAAGCATTTTGAAATAATTCAAATTATGTTTAAAGCGAAAATATTTAAATTCTATACATAAAAGCTAGAGTCTTAATGTGGCAAAGAGGTCTATGAAAACTAAATAAGTATTCATCAAAAGCTGCTGAATATATAGTGTTTCATAAATGAATTCAAATAAAACATATTCTACATGCCCTTCGGAAATATATTATTTTAGAAAATAATCTATAATGTTTGTGAGTTGTTAAACATGCGTATACAGCACACTTACATCACAAACTTCCAATAGACTGATAATTAATTATGCTCTGAATATTTTCTTATACACCAATCAGAAAAATAGCCGAGTGTGTGCCTAACAGAATTGCAACATAGTAACGTTTATAATGAAATAAAGATATTCCATTGACACAATTTTACTAGTTAATGTACTGACACATGGAGAAACAATATTTTGAACACGTCATTGCAGCTCCAGCCGTCCAGACATTTGACATTATGTTGAGGTCTCTGGACCTCGATGGCCAGCACATGCCTGCATGTTTTCGTCTGCTTATGTGAGATATATATCGATTACATCGAAGTTTACATTTTTTCCCTAACATATATGTAAGCGTTTAATGACTTATGCATACCACAATTAAATCTAAAACGGAAATTGTGTATGCACAGTGAGAAACAAGTAACTGCACCATCGAGACGATTTATTTTGCTAGTTGTTTTAAACTATTTGTTATTTACAAAAAGAGAAAAGAGCAAATATACAGTAGACATATTATTAAGAAGTCCTTTTTTATGTAGAAATCTATTTATTTATATTTTCTTTTCGTGACATTACGTTTCTGTCAATAACCTTATCGGCCCTATTAATGCTAAAATCGGTCATTTTCCGAAGGACACTTCGGCCCTTTCATGATATAATTTAAGTGTTTTTTTTTTTTTCTTGGTTTATAAAATGAAAAACTCACGTTTTCATATTTGAAATAAAAAAAACAACAAAAAACAACAACAACAACAATGCAATCAAATAATAAATAAAACTATATGGATTATTTATTTATATACATCAGTTTGTTATGCTTACTTAAATGCGGTATTTGACACCAACACACGTATCGATTAAAAAAAAATCTTTGGTTTTTTAGGGTTCGAATTGTCTCAATGCCGAAATAACCCAGAATCTGCTGTTTCATTCCACGCGGGTGTTTTTGCGCGCGAACTTCTATACATGCTTTAATTAAAGGATTTTCTTTACGTTTTCGTAAGTAATGTTGAGCATGTCTGGTTTTGTATGAAAATTTTAAGAAAATGTTTTTTGTTGTTGTTGTTTAATATAGCATAACGTTATCGTATGTCCCAGAATATAAAAAAATGCTGCTTCTGTATAATGATACCGATTTCGGATAAAAAAAAGATTCGGACGAAGATTTAGGGTCGCGGGGAGTTCAAACATTGAAATTGAGTGAGTCTCGTCCAAACTTGCTAGTCTAAAATGTGTTCGATCTTGTTATTCATGCAATTGTTATGATAAAAAGTTTATCTGGGAGGTAAAAATTAGGAAAAAAAAGATCAATTCGAAAATTGGCTTAAAAACCAGGCAAACAGGACGTTTCGGCCCCAAACCAAATCGGCCCCAGTGGAAAAATCGGCCCCTGGACGTTTCGGCCCTTTTTCGCGAGACGTTTCGGCCCTACTATATAGTACAGACAATTAATTAAATTAATTAACAACAATTTATTTAATTACAATTAAACAATTATGACACTTTAATTCTTTAAATAATTATTTATTATCTTTTGATCTCTTGAACCATTTAGATATACGTTAATGTTTTTAAAGATGTAACAAACAATAAAGACAGGTTAATCCTTAATTTTTAAAACAAACCACTAAAACTTCTGGATTAAGAAAGTTTATTACAATTATTCCTTAGAAAACATTATCTTTTGATCTTAATCAAACTATACTTATTTTTTTCAAGGTGTAACTAATTACTAGTAACTGTTTATAGCTTTATGTAAGTAATATCAGAGAAAACTTCAACAAAAAAAAAATAAAACGGTTTTCTATAATCTCCTGATAATATTTTTAATTATTATTATTATTATTAGATAATGATAGATGCTAGATGTTATAAAAGTGATTGAAAGACTGAAACCAAATTATAAATGCTATGTACCTGCTATATATTTATTAATTAGTTTAATCAAACAATGTTGACAGTGACAAAAGAATTATAGATATTATGGCTTCTGTTTTATTTTCATTGTAAAATTATATGACCGAATGTTTCGATTTTCACGTGCATGAACAACTAACTTTCCTTACCTGATAATTAAATGTGTTAGATTTTTCAATATCAAGGAAATAATTACGAGTAGGTATTTATTGTGAGATATTTATAAACATTGAAGTTAACATTAAATGCAACAAGTATCTAATTGTTGATGGTTTTGGTAAAGATTTAATCTTACGTAAAATATATAAGAGGTATTGTAAATCTTTCAAGGTACTTGGAAATTGGCGTTCCACTTCATGGAAATTGTCATTTATGATTATTATAACTATGAAATTTTAATATACCGGTTTAAAACACAGTACTTATTCTGGGGCCGATTTGGTAAAGGGCCGAAACGTCTGGGGCCGAAACGTCTTGGGTAATTTGGGGCCGATATGTCTTGGGGCCGAAACGTCTCGAAATCAAAACCAGTGGTCAAATGACGCAATGTATAAAAAGACAATATTTATTGTATTTGATTATAACAGGGGATTAAACAATTATTCTTTTGTTTTTTCATGTAGATCTGGGACATACGATATCGTATGTCCCAGTGTAGATCAAAGGGGTCCGACACACTTGGGTGTGTTCATATTAGGGGTGTAATCGATTCAATCGATATCAGTGCATCAACGATCTTTGTTATCCGATGCGATATCGATTCCATTTTTTAAATATCGGATATTGAATTCACATATATTTCTAGCTATAGAGACTTCAGCAAACAGGTTTTATAGTACTGATAGACCAAACGTCAAAATAAAAGCGACATATAAAGTTATGGAAGCCAGAACTAACATAATATTTCAAACATTTTTTTTTCGAAAACGGATCAACACCAGAGTTACCTCCCAGTGTCTCTAACGAATACTGCCGAATTTGGTTGTAATCTCGCGTGTCTGCTAAGTGGGGGTCAAGACCCCCCAATTCAGATTTTAAAAAGGGAAAATGCCATGAAATTTTTGTTAGTTTTGTTTCTTTGTAAAAATTATGATAACATATGTTAAACTTTAATCATTATTCCGGTTCTAAACACTATAATTTGCCAATTATACTCCCGCCTTACTAATGGAACAGTAAGGACGTAATTTAGCATAATCTGTAACTACATAATAGCAGCAACAACAACAAAAGTAAAATGGAAAATGCGTTTGACATTACAGTAACTATAGTCATAAGTTGTCTTTAAAAGTTATAATGATAAAAAAGAAACAAATTGTTCACTTTTCGTAGTTTATTTTTTTGCATGTGTTTAAATATAACTGCATATTAAAACAAATTATAAAGGACTTGAAAGCTTCATTTTGCCCGGCAATCGATATATCGCTGTATCGCCGATAATTCATTACCGATATATCGATACAAAAATCCTTATCGATGACACCCCTAGTTCATATATAGTGTAATTAAGTTACACAAGCAATTTGACAAAAAATATATGGACAAATATTTTATATATTTGATATTTGGGCATGTACGAGGCTAAAAGTTGTAAAAACAAGTAAATATAATATAAAAATTTATACATACTTTGCACAACAGCTTCTAAATCCAACTCCAAGGCAAGTAGTAATTTTTTATGTTTAAATTTTGATATATTTAAATTGCGCGGCCTCATAACTTTTGTTTACCTCGACGTCGGTTACAGTTTAAAACTCAGTGTATGGTGTACATGCAGAGCCATATAAAAACTCGAAAGAAATGCAAAATTTGAATTGCTTTTTAAATTCACTGGTTTGCCATGGTTAGACTTTTTTAGGGTTTTTACCTGTTTTATATGATGTGTATAACAAACTAAAAATGTAAAAAAAGCTTGTGTTGCAATTTGTTTGACGTTAAATTTTACTTTAATCGGACTAACAGTTATTTCCTGTATTTCTCTTAAATAAGTTAATAATAAATTATGTATAATATATGCATTGACGACAAAACAAATAAACCAAGAAGATTCCACAGCTGTCATGGCCTATTATTTATTATTTTCCGCCGCGGTCAGGTGAAAATAATAACTGTCAGCTGACATGTCACATGACCAATGACTTTCGTAAACCTTGATGTCTGTCTTTATTTTGAATGTATAAAAATATTATAATGTCATTGTATGATCTGTACATATATTTTTGTCTTTTTAATTTGCTGAAAATTTTGGTTTTTGGTTGTCATGAAAGTTTTTTTTTTATATCATTTGATATTTTAGGGCTGTTCTTATTAATCTATTGTAATAAAATTAATAAAAACACATATAAGGCGGCATTTTAATTCATTAAAATCTGAATATAAAATGACTTTTTCTTGCTGTTATTTTTTCATCATTTTATTTGTCTGGAAAAGTGTACCCACATTTTTTAAGCTGGACCCACATTTTTCAAAACAGGTGGGTACTGTAAAAATCCAGTGGGCATGCTGGATTATATTTTTCATGCCAAAACATGGAAATGAAATGACTATTTTTTAACAATATGAAAAAAGTCACCGAAAATACTAAAAATGGTAATACCCAAAATTACGTTGCTGGAGCATTTACCAAATATTAACTTGTGTGATTTTTTTTTACCAAAAAATTTGCCAATATTATAGTGGTTGGAAAATGATCTTTACCACCCCTTTGACTGAATACAAAACTTTTTTCACAGAGCTTGATTAAATAAATAAAATATTAACATTCATTCAAATGCTAGCAATTGACACCGTGCTCAGGGGCGGCAAAATCAATTGTCCAGGTTGTCCCACAATCTGCATACGGACAAGTGAAAATTTTCTAAAATTTACTATATAAGTATCATACGGACAAGTAAAGAAATTCTTCAAGTAAAAACGGACATGTTAGTCAAAATCAGATTTTGCCGGCCCTCAGGGGTGCTGGTGTCATTGGGGGTGTTCAACCCTTTGTCTCTATATTATATATTCAGTATATATTTTTTTCTAGAATTACTTTTTTTCACTATTCAAACACTTTGCCAAGTCCCTTTTGGCGTATTAAAGTCACATAACCATATATTTTACATAATCACAGTATTCCCACTACTAATTTGAACAGGTGGTATTTTTGTCACTAGCTTCTAAAAACTTGACATACAAAAAGCAAAAGGAGGGTAACAATTTAAAGTGACTGTATTAATTTATAAATTTCATCAATTTCTGTGCTTACATGTAAGAATAAGTGAGGATTTTCCTGCATACAAGTTGGAATTTATGCTTAAAATAAGCGCATATGCGCTTAAATGGGAACACTGAATCAACCTATATATATATATAAGATATCTTATTATAGTATATAGCCCATATAGAACATGAAGATTGTTTCAAGCACCATGCATTTAATATCATTTTTGGTATTTCAGTGAGAATGTTGAGGAGAAGATCAAAGAAGATTAAACTTAAAGAGGACCAAGCATTACTTCTTCTAACAGAAGAGAAGGAGAGAGAAAGGTTTAGGGTGTCATTCATAGACAAATACATAGGTGAGATTTTAAGCTTATTGAATATTTGATAAAATACCCTTAATGTTTCCTTGAAAAAAACACCTAAATAGGTACTTGAATTTAGCTTTTTATCCTGGAATTCTGCAAATCTATCCTTGAAAATGTTACCGACAATATTTAACTTTTTTTCGTACAATAGCAATTGTCGATAGGCCTCCACACTCTGAGATAAATTTTATTAACCGGACACCGGTATCCAACTATTAAACTATTAGTGACGTCACTAACAATGGCTGAGCCTGTATGGAATCCATATTATTTGTGATCATGCTTTAATACGGTTATAAAATGGGTAAGAAATGCTCTTTTCAGCATTGTTGGCTTACAAAGTACAATGGGATAAAATGGACAATGGACCCACACAAAGCTTTGTGCTGTGTTTGTTTTAGAGAAATTGATTTAAAATTGATTGGGGAAAGTGCATTGACCTTGCACGTCAAAAGTAAAAAAACAACTCAAATCTGTGGAAGTTGCCTCCTCGCAACAAATGCATGGTTTTGCATTTGTGCAACAGGATGGTCCTATAGCTCCTTGCATTGATGTGAAGACAGAAAATTGTGAAGTGAATGTGACGGTAACAATAATGTGTTGAAGATTCCCAGGGCTTACACTGGCTCAAATAAAATAATAGCCAATATTTATACCCCCGCACAACAAAGTTGTAAGGGGGGTATACTGGAATCAGCTTATTTATACCCCCGCACAACAAAGTTGTAAGGGGGGTATACTGGAATCAGCTTGTCCGTCCGTCCGGCCGTCCGTCCGTCCGGCCGTCGGTTTTTTCTTGTCCGCCCAATAACTTAAGATTCCTTTGACCCTTAGTCTTCATATTTGGCATGGAGGTTAGTCATGATAAGTAGATGACCCCTATTGATTTTGAGGTCACTAGGTCAAAGGTCAAGGTCACAGGGGCCTTGACTTCAAAAAGCTTGTCCGCCCAATAACTTAAGATTCCTTTGACCCTTAGTCTTCATATTTGGCATGAAGGTTAGTCATGATTAGTAGATGACCCCTATTGATTTTGAGGTCACTAGGTCAAAGGTCAAGGTCACAGGGGCCTTGACTTCAAAAAGCTTGTCCGCCCAATAACTTAAGATTCCTTTGACCTACAGTCGTCATATTTGGCATGGAGGTTAGTCATGATAAGTAGATGACCCCTATTGATTTTGAGGTCACTAGGTCAAAGGTCAAGGTCACAGGGGCCTTGACTTCAAAAAGCTTGTCCGCCCAATAACTTAAGATTCCTTTGACCTACAGTCGTCATATTTGGCATGGAGGTTAGTCATGATTAGTAGATGACCCCTATTGATTTTGAGGTCACTAGGTCAAAGGTCAAGGTCACAGGGGCCTTGACTTAAAAAAGCTTGTCTGCCCAATAACTTAAGATTCCTTTGACCCTTAGTCTTCATATTTGGCATGGAGGTTAGTCATGATTAGTAGATGACCCCTATTGATTTTGAGGTCACTAGGTCAAAGGTCAAGGTCACAGGGCCTTGACTTCAAAAAGCTTGTCCGCCCAATAACTTAAGATTCCTTTGACCCTTAGTCTTTATATTTGGCATGGAGGTTAGTCATGATTAGTAGATGACCCCTATTGATTTTGAGGTCACCAGGTCAAAGGTCAAGGTCACAGGGGCCTTGACTTCAAAAAGCTTGTCCGCCCAATAACTTAAGATTCCTTTGACCTACAGTCGCCATATTTGGCATGGAGGTTAGTCATGATCAGTAGATGACCTCTATTGATTTTGAGATCACCAGGTCAAAGGTCAAGGTCACAGGGACTTTGACTTCAAAAACGTTATCTGCCCAATAACTTTAGATTCCTTTGACCCACAGTCTTCATATTTGACATGGATGTTGATCATGATTAGTAGATGACCCCTTTTGATTTTGAGGTCACTGGATCAAAGGTCAAGGTCATAGGGACTTTGACTTCAAAAAGTTTGTCCACCCATTAACTTAAGATTCCTTTGACCCACAGTCTTCATATTTGGTATGGATGTTGATCATGACTATAAGGTGACCCCTATTGATTTTGAGGTCACTGGGTCAAAGGTCAAGGTCACAGGGACCTTGACAAAAAAAAAGCTTTTCTTCTCAATTGCTAAAGAATGTCCTGTCCGCAATGTATTGATTTTGACATTTTCACATTTGAAGCATGTAGAATACATAACTTAGCAATGCACTGGCTTAGTAACCTCAGATTTGGCAGGGAGGTTGTCCTTGAGCTCTAAATGGCCACTGTTGATTCTGACAAAGTGGTATGCGGGGGTATTCACGCCATGATAGTGGCAGTTCTAGTTTTAACTTGAAAAAATTATAGCCAAAAGTTCAGCGGACTAAATTCATTCCTCCCCCACCCACTCTGTCATCTCAAAGGTTTATACTCATTTGTGCATTTTAAATGTTTTCCAGAGCTTATATTTCATACCAAATGAGTCCATGAAAAACAATATTTTTCCTTGAAATTTCTTGAAAAGTCCTTGAATTTTTAGATGGAATTTCTATGTGAACCATGACTTAAAATATATTGCCTTTCACAAAATGTACCTTCCTGCATTTTGAAGGACAAAAATAGATAAAATTAAAAACACTGGACTCAGATTTTGAGTAGAGGGCCGGCAAAATCTGATTCTGACTTACTTGTTGTTAATTGAAGCATTTTTAGCTCGACTATTCGAAGAATATGACAGCTATTGTAGTCGCGTCGGCGTCTGCGTTTGTAAAAGGTTTTTGTAAATTCAAATATCTCAATTATTGCTTGAGATATTCAATTGAAACTTACAATACTTATTTATAGTAACAATGTACATCAGATTGACAAGTTGGATAACTCTGCCTATAATATTTACAGAATTATGCCCCTTTATGACTTAGAAATTTTGGTTATTAACTTAAAGTTTTTTTGTAAAGTCAAATATCTCAATTATTGCTTGATATATTCAATTGAAATTTACAATACTTTTTTATAGTAACAATGTACATCAGTTTGCAAAATTTCATAACTCTGCCAGCAATATTTGCAGAATTATTTGCCCCTTTGAAACTTAGAAATTTTGGTTAAAGGTTAAAGGTCTTCAAAGATATTTACTTGAAAGTTGAAACTTTACACATGTACTTAGGGTCATAATTGGAGAGTCATAATTGTATGTCACTGACCAAGTTCCATAACTCTACTTGCATTTAGGCAGATTCATCTCCCCTTTTCTACTTAGTCTCTTGGTAATTTTAGGTCACTGACAAAGATACATAATTCTATCTTGCATTGAGGCTGATTTTTCTTCAGAAATTCATGGTAAAGTTTTGCTTGTAAGCTGTTATCTCCATAACTACTGAAGAGTTTGTGCCTTTTTTTGGACATTTTTATGCATTCATAATAATAAAGCAGTGATTTACTTGATAAAACATCTTAATAACAAGCCTTTGTACCTTTTCGGTCAATTTTATGTATTCATAGGTAATTAGCATTATTATTCTTAATAAATTACCCTTGTGACAATTTTTTGAATAGTCAAGCCAATACTGTCCTCCGACAGTTCTTGTATAACTTGTCAGTATGATATTTACATAGAAAATTCTTGAAAATTTTCACTTGTCCATACAGGCTGTCTGTCGGACAACCTGGGCAATAGGGACAATTGAATTTGCCGGCCCTGATTTATAGTATTTATATACTTTTCTTTCTATCATTATATAATCGTCAATCTACATAACATGTTTATTTCTGTTTTTCATTCAAATTCTTGCGCTATTGGCCTTCTGGCTAAGTTAGTATATATAACTTTTCTATTTTAAAATGTATATGTATAAAACATTGTTGAATGCTGCTGTCATTACAAAGGGGGGGGGGGGACATTAATCAATAAATTCATCACAGTTGATTTACGGCCCTGATTAACGGTTTTTCATTTGACAGGTATTACAATTGAAAATGCGTCTGCAGATGATTTTTCACAGAATAACTTTATTTATGAAATGTTTGGAGAGACATAATCTAGATAGGGAGAATTTTACTCACCCAACTGGTTGAGTTTGGTTAACTTTGTTCTTGCCAACTCAAACTTTCACTTGCAAATGCAAGTAGGCAAGTGGATTAGTTGAGGCCTGATAATTATACTGAATAACATAATAGGGTTTATCCTGGAAATGGGACATAATTTGTCGTGTTAAATAATACTAAAATATTGCTGTTTCAGTCCTCGAAATAACCCACTTGCCTGAAGCCTGCCCAGGACAAGTCAAATTAATGACTGGCATGTTAATATTATAACCAGTCTGCCCGAATTTGGCTAAGTTAAAATTTTATTGATACATTTGTAATTAAAAATTCAAATTATTAATTCAAACAAAAAAGAAAATGAAATAAATGTATAAATACATCTCCAGTAAAATCTAAGTTTCTATCAAGTCACATATGTTTATCAAACATGTACATCAGTCTTTCCGAAAGACCGTCGGACCGTCAGCCCTGACCGGTAAAAAATCAGAAGGTCCGATAAAAATATATGTATTGACGGCCCGACGGTCCGGTAAAAATTAAGGATTTATAAAAACCTTACATTCAACATTCAAAACATATCAAAATGTTGTCATTACACAATATAAGCTCGTGCAATGCTTGTCAACTGTTATGCATTCTCATAATGCAAACTTTAATGTAACAACGTAAGATAAAAATATCCGACAACTAGTGTACAATTAAAAGTCAATAAGCGGCCGCGTAAATTACATAAGCGGCCCAGATGTGAAAGGTCACCCGCTATTAGTTTGTTTACACAGATGAAAGTGTCAGTGTATTAATTGGACAATTTACGTCTTTAATCCACAGACTTAGAGTAATGCTTAATTACACGTGTGCTCAACTGGACAGGTATTTAGCTATGAAAGATCGTCCAAGATGTTGACAAAAATTAAACTATACTGTGAAGGTACCAAAATCATTGAACAATTAATCTGTCAACTTCACTAAATTACCGATATATATAATTCTGTTTACATATGCCAGACTTTTGCTGAAATTTACCCTCTCATTTTGCTAGTATATAGTCTGTATGAAATTAAAGTTTAAATAGCAAAATCCATTGAATACATGTATAACAATATTTATGTTAACATTTTGATTGTGGTGAAAAAAGAAAACTTCACTTTGTTGATAATACAATTTTCTTTTTGTACACAAATTTTTTGACTGCTGACACTTACCAAATGACTCAAAATGCTATACCAATCAGGTTTTTTCGGTCCAGTAAAATCATGTTTGGTCCAGTAAAAATTTTCAGTTTACAGGACCTACTGTCCAGTAAAACTCAGAAGTCTTTCGCATAGACTGATGTACATGTCACAAGCGACAGCGGTCTGTATTTACACGATAAAGTTTGTTTGCAAATTTTACACTTCGATGAAACTTGCAGTTTAATGGGGGAAATCTCCATCAGGAGTGGAATTTTGGGGAAAAGGTAGTTATTTGGGTTTGGGAAGTAGCCAGATAACAGCTATAGTAAAGAAGTGTAAAAAGGCCATGTCAAATAACATATACAAAAGACTTTATATACATTTACAGGAGCATCATTATTATAATTATTACGAAAGGCCGGTACAACCTGTGAAAAAAGTTTACTCAAAAACATGGAAAAAAAATTTACTATAAAACAAGATTTTTTTTTGGATACCAAACATAATGAACTGACAAATGACAACCATGATAATTTGGTCGACATGTTCAGGAATAAAAAGAAGAAAGCTTAAAACGTAAATTAATCATTAAATTTATGAATAAAGGAATAAAAGTGATGATCTATTCTTGTTTATATTTTCACAATTAACAGATTTCAAGCTAAAAATTCACAATTTTAGGGGGTATGGACTGTTGTGAATAAAGCAACAAAAAATCATCGGTCTTAGCAAAAAACCCACTAGAGATCTTAAAACTTTATATGTAAGTGAAATTAACTGTATAGATGTCTTTCTGTGTCCAGATGTTTTTTATGATATTCATTTCTAGATATTGTAAAGGCTGATCAATATTCAAGTGTAACAGTATTGTTTGTACATGTAGATTTTTTTTTTAATAAAGGGCATGGTGTATTCACCCTAGAAAATTGTGATGCTGGAGAACTTCTACTTGAATACAGAGGAAAGCTAAGACAGAATAATCATGAGACTGATATTCAAGATACAACATTTTTATACTATTTTGAACATGAAAGGAAAAGTTACTTGTAAGTTTTTTATGCATGTTTGATATCCCATCCAAAGTCCCTGCTAGAAATTATCAACTTTGTAAATGACCTGTATATACTGTTTCATTATATGCACCGCCTCCGTGGTCGAAGGGTTAGAGTCAATGACTTCTAATCCAGTTATCTCTCTGGCGTGGGTTCAATCCCCGGGAGATGTTTGGTAGTTTAGCGAGGAGGAAGGTAGTCAAGTACTGGTGTAACTCTCCAGGAATGATGGTAAGGAAACTACCCGCCTATATGACTGAAATACTGTTGGGAAAAGGCGTAAAATGAAACAAACAAACTAACATTACCGACATGTTCCGCTTTTCTGCACATATGGCGACCAGAGCTAAAAATAGAAAAATCTTATCCGGCATTCATTCAGGTCAAACTAGAAAAATTGGTGAAGAACCACTAAAATATACCGTCTTTACTAGATTTTTAAAAAAGAGGTCAAAATGTACATTTTTCATCCCTGACCAACTCTTATAAAGCATTTGATATTGTGCTTGTCTGTTCTAATTCATTCTGATGATTTAAGTTGATATTTCATTATTCATGAAATTTACGTTTCTGTTTTCAGCATTGATGCTACAAATAACTCTTCCATAGCTCGCATGGCTAATGATATTGACTATGCCACAAAGGCCAATTGTAAAATGAAAAAAGTTGTTGTAAATGGTGTTCCTAGACTTGGGTTATTTGCTTTGAATGAAATAAGTAAAGGAACAGAACTGAGATATGACTATGGAGATAAACTTGCCCCATGGAGAAAACAACAGGTGGGTAAAATTATATGATATATACACTTAAATGTCTAAGTGATCTAAAAAATCTTAATTTGTGTGAATTTTACCTGTAATGGACTAAACAGTATTGCTTGCAGTTCTTTGATAATTACTTTTTATTGCAAGGTGTATAACACAAACTTTCTACAGGTTGAATTGAGAATTGAGATAAAAAGAAACTACTCTCTCCATGTGGTTTCAGTTGTAGACCACCAGTTTACAGCTGCCCCAGTCATACTGGATCATTCCATTGGTTAAGTTAAGATCTAACGGACATTCATGAAAGTATTCAAGGAATAAATACTGTTGATATCCCACAATGGTTCCTACTATTCAGTGTTGTTTAGTGTGTTGGCAGACCATATTTAGCTAAACAGAGCATACTCAGGGTGAGCTTTTAGGATTGAAGAATATATGTTGTCAGTCCACATTTAGTTTGTTAACAATCTAACAGTCACATTTTTGCCTCAATCATCATAAAATTATGTCTTGAAATTTGTCCACACAGCCAAAAATATGGAAAAGCTCTGTTTAAATTGACATTGTTTTAGGAGCAGATATGTACATCATCATATCAGTTTCAGATGATGATACTTTATCTGCTTTTCATTTACAAAATACAGTATTTATTGTTTGTAATCAGGTGAGCAATATATAGGCCATCATGGCCCTATTGTTTTTCAATTCTGTAAAGAACTTTGATCAACCATACATATGCTTCAAACAAATCCTAACCTGGTTTTATTGACATAATTTGTGTATTCACTGTGTAATAATAATAGCTGATTTCTCTGTTTTAAACCAACATTTTTTTTCAGAAGAATCATATGAGACCTGCCCTGTACAGACAACCAAGAAGTAGTTCTGTTTAAACATTTTTAGCTCACCTGTCACAAAGTGACAGGATGAGCTTTTGTGATCGCTTTTCGTCCGTGTTTGAAAAAACCCAAATAGCTAGAGTTTAGATATTAAGCATGAAACTATATTGTTCACAAGGTGACACATCCGACTCGCGGAGTTCTAGTTTTTCAATGCACTCAACATCAAAATTGTTACATATATTTTTTGTTGTTTTCAATTGGCCTAAGTATGTGTATGAGGTAGAACTACCTTTTATTCTGAATATACCCTCCTGAAATGTTTAACGTGGTAACTTTTTACACGAATGTCGTTAAAAACAAAGTCACTTTCAAAAGTAATTGACTCATTACAAGGCACAGTATAAATGTCTTTAACTTTAAAATAGATAATTTTAACTTCTTTTCATCATTTATTACTATATTAATATTAACTTCATATAGGAGTAATCCTTGATATCTACGTGAATAAATATGCACTTACAGATTTTAGCACTAATCTTTCAGATGCCTCTCAGGAATGTGCTCAAGCTCATACAAACATGCTTATGCCATTGGAAAACAAAACTATTCATAATTACAATTTTAATATGTTGAGTGCATTGAAAAGAAATATAAACTATTCAACGAACATATATGTATTTGCTGCGGGAGGGCTTATGTCCGCCTTATAATTTTCACGGGAGGGCTTCTGTCCGCCAAGTAATTTTTACGGGAGGGCTTTTGTCCGCCAAGTAATTTTTACGAGAGGGCTTTTGTCCGCCCTGTCATTTTCACGGGAGGGCTTTTGTCCGCCTTGTCATTTTCACGGGAGGGCTTTTGTCCGCCTTGTTACTTTTTGACGAGAGGGCTTTTGTCCGGGAGGGCTTTTGTCCTACACTCCTTAAAAGTGGATGAGTGGTTGTTCTTAATTCTGGATCATGTAACCATTGACTTAAAGAACCTAATGTAAAAAAGAGTCATATGTAGGGGGTGGTCTTAAGTAGGGATTCTACTTAACATTGAATGTAATCAATTATCAATCAATTACTCTCATAAAATAATTGTAATTTAATTGATTACAGAGGCAAGTGAGAGTAATCAATCTTAATCAATTACAATAAAATCTGTAAGTAATTGTAATTTAATCATCCCCAGGTCTGCATGAAACATCTTCTAGTAAGTGTCTACAAAGTTTGTTCAAATAAAAGCCCTAGGGTCATAACTGGCCCCGCCCTTGGGGTGTCATTGTTTTTAGATATATTTGTATAGTAAAAACATAAAAAATAAAATGCCTTGGAATAAAATTGGCCCTGCAAGGGGGAGCGGGGGGGAGGGAGGTAATTGTTTTTCATTATATGTGTGTACTATACAGGTGAGCGACCTCAGGGCCATCATGGCCCTCTTGTTTCTGTACAGTTTGATTGTTACTTTAAAGCTGCTCAAATGCATATTTTGGTGGAAAATTAAGTGGTATCATATTTTGGGGTAGATTATCAGCGTTTTTGCATTTTTATTCACTGACACATATGTACATGAGCAGCTTTCACCTCTACAGCATACACAGCCAAACTTTATTTAAAGGACAGTCAAGGGATGCACCTACTTTATTCTCAAGATTTAAATATTCTGAAATAGATTGTGATAATTTGGGAAAAATTTAGTAAACTAGATTTTGATAATTTGGGAAAAATTAAGTATTTTCTATACAAACAGGTTGTTATATATTAATGATGGTCTTAAAATGGGCATACATATGATGTTCATTGTAGGAACTGAGTATAAGTGGTTTGCCTTTTTATTGGATTTGAAAATTATGGGATCCATCTGGATGTCAGATGGTCCTTTATATTTTTGTATTATTTCATGATCCATTTAAAAAGTTTTGATTCAGATTTTGTCATCTAAAAAGAAAGTGATGAATTTATGTGAGAACAAGCATTGTGTTTTGTTTGAGGTAATCTGTCATTTTACTTCGTTATAATGAATCTCTTACAAAAGATTAATGGGTCTAAGCCTGGTAAGCAATTTGAATGAACTTTGATGAATCTTAGCCATAAAATCTGTCCAAAAATGCCATAAAATTTGTACAAAAATATAATGCTTCACCAAAAAGCTAACTTCAGAACTTTACTACATCAATTTTTGAAAAAAAGACATGTATTGGAGTAAATTTTATCAGTTTTTTTATCACCTGATTAACTAGTCTTACATGGATGACATATGGTCAGCAGTTTTGTATACAAAATTTTTATTTATATATATTTGTAGACACTTTAATTGGCTGATAATATGTTATTTGATGTTGTTATTTGTTCTTTTGATTTTCCTGAAGATTAAAATGTTCTGTTTGTAAAGTTTAAAAAACAAAGCTAAATGAATTAAGGTATTACCATCCTAAAGCCTTACGTCTGCTTTGAAGAGTATTCAAATAAAACTACTGTTAACTACATTGAAACTGAGGGCCTTAGGTTCAAACCTCAGATGGGTCAACATTTTTTCTTTCTTTTTTTCTTTAACATTATTTATGTATCTCTCCATCCATTTTGGGTAGAAAAAAGTGTTAATTTTTTATTATTTAATTTATATAGGTATTTCTTGGCTAAATAATGCTAAATCTAGTAAAATATATGGTACCGGATATTTTCAAAGTGTAATAAAATCAAAACTAGACGGTAAAAGTATTTAATATTTCACAAGATCAACCAAAATACTTTTTTAAAATGTAGGGAAACTTTGAAAGCAGGCACTCATTTGGGTAAATTTTAAGGATTTTTTAAATTGAGCTCCCTAAGTAAAAAAATGGTCAAACACATGTTAAAAATGGGTGGGGTAGGGTAACATTTTTATACATATTTTATAAATTTTGAGTAGAAACCATAATTTTGTTTATGTTGATGGTTAGCTGATTAGCACTATTATTTTCTTACCAAAATAATGGGAAAAGGATTTTCATTAGAATGTTATTGCAGATCATTTAAAGGTTTCTGAAAAAGGGCTCTCTTACACCCTAGCTTCAGTTCATAAAAGTGGCCATAACTCGATTTCCGTATGGTAAAGTTTGTTTAAATTTTGCACACAGGTATAATTTAAGGTAATGGTATATATCTGACCTGTGATATAAATTTCTTATTTAAGTTTCTTATTGTGCCTGTTAGGGTGGTAATACCTTAATTACTGAAGAAAACATCTAGCTGTCTTCCTGATAAAAAACAGAGACAAGAGGGACATAATTTCTTTGGATGGGGCTTTGATTTCAAGAGTCTACTGTACTCTAGAACACATTATAGTGAGGTTGTGAGGACCTTAATGATTGAAGTCCTCAGGTTGACACATGAGTCAGTTTTTTTTATGCCCCCTCTTCAAAGAAATGGGGGTATATTGCTTTGCATTTGTCCGTCTGACTGTCAGGTGGTCATTCTGGAGACAAGAGAATCAATAACTAAAGAATGCTTAGGCCTAAGAACTTAAAACTTTGTATGATAATTGGTAATGACCAGTAGATGACCCCTATCTGTTTAGGGGGTCAAAGGTCAAGGTCACATTGATCTTGTAGGAAAAAACCATTTGATCAATAACAAAAGAACGCTTAGGCCTAGGAACTTCAAACTTGGAATAATGATTGTTCATGACCAGTGGATTGATTTTTTGGTCAATAGGTCCAAAGTCAGTCACAGTAATTTGGTCATGTGACTAAGTGGCTGCAGATAAGGGTCATACATGTTTTACAAACATATCTTGTTTGTTGTTGTTTTTTATGTGGCCTCATTGTTTTGCAAAAAAATATTCCATAGGGATGGAATAATAAAGGGCATTTTCAGTAAGTTTATTGGATGATGAATTGCAAAGTGTCTGTTATCCATTTTTGCCTTCAAACAGGGGCGGAAATAAAGTCCCATTCCAATTCTTAGATAACCTTTTTTGTTCCCAGTTCTAGGAAAAAATTCTAACAGTAGCAGCTGCAAAAAATAAAACTGTTTCTATTCTAAAGAAGATACACTGTCATAATATGTTTTTTTTTTCTTCCAAGAAGTGATTTATTATATGACAATACATTAATAAAAATAAATATAAATAACATAAATATTCATGGGGTAATTTCTAACTTATAGAATTTCTAAAACTTTTTAATTAATCTGCTGCCTATGACCTTCCCAAAAAAATGTTAAAAAGCACTGATTTATATTTTAGTATATATTTTAGTTTCAGCACAGATTTTTAAGGCAGTTTTTAATCAGTCTTAACTGCAGAATCTCAGATGACAGTGATATATATCCTGTTTTCTCATATTCTCGGGGGGTTAAGGACTAAACTTGGTTGCATAATATTTATAAAACATTCTGTTACAGTATTTTTAGCCTGATACACAGAGAAATACCTTATAATACAAAGAAAGAAAGATCATAACTGTTAGCAAAACAAAAGATATTTCTGCTTGTATATAATGACCTTCACCCTCTATGTGAAGCAGGTGCTTTCTCGTATTCTCGTGGAATTTGATTGGTTGTTAAGGCTGGTCGCTATATGATGATTTTATTCTACTTACCAGTTCAAATCATTAGTGCCACACCTAATTAAGTGTTAAAATGGCCTAAATCTGTAATTTTATTGTGTTTTAATAACAGCTTGGCAGGCCATATCAAACTTTTAGGATCATATTGACGCCTCTTTGGTACCAAATGATTTTGATTGTTCCAAAAATAGTTTGAACTCCATTTAGTGTTGTTATTTACATAATCTCTCTAATATATATTAAGTTTACGTTTATTTATTAGTGACTTATTAGTTATATGAGCATTAAACAATGAATACTACTGTTTTCAATTGCAGTTGTCAAAAATGAAATGTGTTTAGGACAAACAATGTTTCATTATTGGTTTTTAATTGGAGTTCATATCTTTTTTATATTATCTATTCGTGGTACAAATATTTTGAGCTGTATTGTATAAATAGTAGTGTGAGACCGTCATTTGAAGCGTCTTGCGTCAGAGACACGCTACAGGTTTCTGCAACATGGAAAAAACTAGAAAATTGATGACTTTTGGGGGAAAATTGATAAATTTAATGTTTATTCTCTGGATTTTACGCTTATTTCCACAGGTTTTTTTAGCTCACCTGTCACAAAGTGACAGGGTGAGCTTTTGTGATCGCTTTTCGTCCAGCGTCCGTCCGTCCGTAAACTTTTACTTTAAATGACATCTCCTCATAAACCACTAAGCCAATTTCATCCAAACTTCACAGGAATGTTCCTTTGGTGGTCACCTTTAAAAATTGTTCAAAGAATTTAATTCCATGCAAAACTCTGGTTGCCATGGCAACCGAAAGAAAAAACTTTAAATATCTTCTTTTAAAAAACCATAAGAGCTAGAGCTAAGATATTTGGCATGAAACATCATCTAGTGAGTGTCTACCAAGTTTGTTCAAATAAAAGCCCTGGGGTCAAAATTGGCCCCGCCCCGGGGGGTCATTGATTTTCCCTATATGCATATAGTAAAAACTTAAAAAATCTTCTTTTAAAGAACCCAAAGAGCTAGAGCTAAGATATTTAGCATGAAACATGTTCTAATTGGTGTCTACCAAGTTTGTTCAAATAAAAGCCCTGGGGTCAGAATTGGCCCCGCCCCGGGGGTCATTGATTTTCCCTATATGCATATAGTAAAAACTTAAAAAACCTTCTTTTAAAGAACTCAAAGAGCTAGAGCTTAGATATTTGGCATGAAACATCTTTTAGTGAGTGTCTACCAAGTTTGTTCAAATAAAAGCCCTGAGGTCAAAATTGGCCCCGCCCCGGGGGTCATTGATTTTCCCTATATGCATATTGTAAAAACTTAAAAAATCTTCTTTTAAAGAACCCAAAGAGCTAGAGCTAAGATATTTAGCATGAAACATGTTCTAATGGGTGTCTACCAAGTTTGTTCAAATAAAAGCCCTGGGGTCAAAATTTGCCCCGCCCCGGGGGGTCATTGATTTTCCCTATATGCATATAGTAAAAACTTGAAAAATCTTCTTTTAAAGAACCCAAAGAGCTAGAGCTAAGATATTTAGCATGAAACATCTTCTAATGGGTGTCTACCAAGTTTGTTCAAATAAAAGCCCTGGGGTGAAAATTGGCCCCGCCCCGGGGGGTCATTGATTTTCCCTATATGCATATAGTAAAAACTTAAAAAATCTTCTTTTAAAGAACTCAAAGAGCTATGGCTAAGATATTGAGCATCAAACATGTTCTAATAGGTGTCTACCAAGTTTGTTCAAATACAAGCCCAGGGGTGAAAATTGGCCTGCCCCGGGGGTCATTAATTTTCTTTATATGTGTTTAGCAAAAACTTTAAATCTTCTTTGAAAAACCCAAATAGCTAGAGTTTAGATATTAAGCATGAAACATCTTCTAGTAAGTGTCTACAAAGTTTGTTCAAATAAAAGCCCTGGGGTCAAAACTGGCCCGGCCCCAGGGGTGTCATTGTTTTTAACTATATGTGTATAGTAAAAACTAAAAAAAATCTTCTTTTAAAAAGCCCAATGAGCTAGAACTTAAATGTTTAGCATGAAACATCTTCTTATGGGTGTCTACCAAGTTTGTGCAAATAAGAGCCCTTGGATTAAATTGGCTCTGCAACGTTGGGGGAGTGGGGGTTGGGGGGGCCTATATACAGGTGAGCGACCTCAGGGCCATCATGGCCCTCTTGTTTGTTTTTTATCTGTTTTTGCCGCATTTCTTTTATTTTTTTAATGGAGATGAAAATGCTCTGCTAAATAGACATGTTTTCGGATATCGACGGAAGTCGCAAGCGTCGCTTCCATCCGTTTTAATGATTCCACGAGAATACGAGAAACCCCGAGAATACGAGAAACAACGATAGTATAAGTTTAATATTCCATGTAGATACTCAATTTACTATAAATTGGCTCTGCTGTGTGAAAATGTACCATATGAATAATGTTGGCACTCAAACATCTTCACTTATTGACAATCCAATTAACATTTCATAGAATGTGGTCAAATGGACCTGATGTGAATTAATTTAACAAGATTGATTCACTTCATTTTTCAGGTCCAAAAAGGGAACATCATTTTGTTTGCTCAGGCAGTATACAAACAAAGGTAAATAAATTTTTTGTTTTTATAACTAATAGCATTTCCTGACTGGACAATTAAAGTTATAAAATAATATAATTTCTGCATGAATGAATATTCAAGAGATGTTATTTTTAGCTCACCTGTCACAAAGTGACAGGGTGAGCTTTTGTGATCGCTTTTCGTCTGGCATCCGTCCGTCCGTCTGTCGTCCGTCCGTAAACTTTTACTTTAAATGACAACTCTTCATAAACCACTAAGCCAATTTCATCCAAACTTCACAGGAATGTTCCTTTGGTGGTCACCTTTAAAAATTGTTCAAAGAATTTAATTCCATGTAGAACTCTGGTTGCCATGGCAACCGAAAGAAAAAACTTTAAATATCTTCTTTTAAAAAACCATAAGAGCTAGAGCTTAGATATTTGGCATGAAACATCTTCTAGTGAGTGTCTACCAAGTTTGTTCAAATAAAAGCCCTGGGGTCAAAATTGGCCCCGCCCCGGGGGGTCATAGATTTTCCCTATATGCATATAGTAAAAACTTAAAAAATCTTCTTTTAAAGAACCCAAAGAGCTAGAGCTAAGATATTTAGCATGAAACATGTTCTAATTGGTGTCTACCAAGTTTGTTCAAATAAAAGCCCTGGGGTCAAAATTGGCCCCACCCCGGGGGGTCATTGATTTTCCCTATATGCATAAAGTAAAAACTTAAAAAATCTTCTTTTAAAGAACTCAAAGAGCTATGGGTAAGATATTGAGCTTCAAACATGTTCTAATAGGTGTCTACCAAGTTTGTTCAAATAAAAGCCCGGGGTCAAAATTGGCCCCGCCCCAGGGGGTCATTGACTTTCACTATATGCATATAGTAAAAACTTAAAAAGTCTTCTTTTAAAGAACCAAAATAGTTAGAGCTAAGATATTTAGCATGAAACATGTTCTAATAAGTGTCTACCAAGTTTGTTCAAATAAAAGCCCTGGGGTCAAAATTGGCCCCGCCCCGGGGGGTCATTGATTTTCCCTATATGCATATAGTAAAAACTTAAAAAATCTTCTGTTAAAGAACTCAAAGAGCTATGGCTAAGATATTTAGCATCAAGCATGTTCTAATAGGTGTCTACCAAGTTTGTTCAAATCAAAGCCCTGGGGTCAAAATTGGCACCGCCCCGGGGGTCATTGATGTTCCTTATATGTGTATAGCAAAAACTTAAAAAATCTTCTTTGAAAAAACCCAAATAGCTAGAGTTAAGATATTAAGCATGAAACATCTTTTAGTGAGTGTCTTCAAAGTTTGTTCAAATAAAAGACCTGGGGTCAAAATTGGCCCCGCCCTGGGGGTCATTGATTTTCTTTATATGTGTATAGCAAAAACTTAAAATCTTCTTTGAAAAAACCCAAATAGCTAGAATTTAGATATTAAGCATGAAACATCTTCAAGTATGTGTCTACAAAGTTTGTTCAAATAAAAGCCCTGGGGTCAAAACTGGCCCGGCCCCAGGGGTGTCATTGTTTTTAACTAAAAAAAATCTTCTTTTAAAAAGCCCAATGAGCTAGAGCTTAGATGTTTAGCATGAAACATCTTCTTATGGGTGTCTACCAAGTTTGTGCAAATAAAAGCCCTTGGATTAAATTGGCCCTGCAACGTTGGGGGGGGGGGCAATATACAGGTGAGCGACCTCAGGGCCATCATGGCCCTCTTGTTTATTTTATTCAAGCCATTCCTGCCAATCATTGGTGTATAATGTACGTAGCATGTTCATTTTCTATTGAATGTTAATATTGAGACTTTAAGATCATTTTTTAATCAGCTGAAGAGTTTGTTTGCTTTTGGTATTAACGTCACATCGACTCAGTATCGCGACGTTCCAGCTTTACTGGTGGAGGAAGACCTCATGTGCCCTTCGGTGCATTATTTCAGGCACAAATTGGCACCTGAAGAGATATAATATGATAATACAAGCAAGAAACAAACTTTGTTTAAATTTTGTATTTGAAAATGTTTTACTTTTTTTAAACTTTGCCTTACTAACTAGAGATTAACTGCTTTAACACAACTATAATTAAATAAGAGTTTTTGTGTGTTGCAGGATCAGTTAAAGCATCTTGTTTCAAAGTTTGGTGGACGTTACATGGAAGAATTTGATAACACAGTTACACATGTAATAATGGAAACAAGTAAGCTTACTTTGGAACATTTGAGTAAACATGGTTAGCTTTCATTTTGTCCAGAAACCAATGTCAAAATCTAATTTATCTTTGCAGATGAATACAAAATTGTTAAAAACAGAGGCCTTAAACATTATATTACTTTATGACCATCAATAACTTCCTTTTATGTTGATCACAATGCTAATGTCTACTGCTTCAACAGTTTTGATAAGTTATAAGAGTTCCTGAATTAATACTCTATTTTAATAAAAAAAGTAGATTGTCAATATGCAGTAAAGAGTGCTTTCACGGTTTTAAAGACATGCTAGGGATGCTTACAAACATAAAGTAGAATAGAACAACATAGTAGATTTTAAAAAAATCTTGATTTTTAGAATAACAAATAAAAGAAATAAGGTTGATGACCCCCCAATTTTATTTTCTTTTGTGATCATGCCAAGTTGAGATAAATTTTATTTTGTAATTTTCATTTTGTCTATATTGTTTTCAACTCTCAACAGTTTATTAACAGTTTATAAACTAAAAGCACCTGCTTTAAATTTTAACTTTTACATTTAATTCATACAAGATTATCAATGTATGAACACAGTTTTACTTTGTTACATATGTAAATATTATAACAACAGTGTTTCAAGAAAATGATATTAGTTGATTGTTTTGGTTTTGCATGATAACTGGTGCAGGCTTCGCGAAACTGCTGAAACATTTGCCTGACATTCGGTCAGACAAACTTCAATTTTTGTCTGACCGAAAGAACTTTTGTCTGACCGAATTTGTTTTCCAAATATATGTATATGGTAATACCTTTGTGTTTTTTAAAGACATAGGAACTTTTAAAGATTTGCAACACAATTTTATTCTCTTAAATAAAACATCAGTTTATCCAGATTGATGGACTCTGTCTGGAAATTTAAACATTCATGATCAAAATCATCATCATCATATGATCTTTATAAAATTTATGACACAATGTACATTTCATCTTATTTTCTTCCTTGTTAAAAACCAACCACAAGCGGCCATTTTTCCATTTACCAACAAATTTTCTCGGCAGGCGCCTGGACTCGTATTTCTTTTGTTTCGCTTTTTTCCTTCATTAGATAATTTACGTTTTTTGCCTGGCGTAGCGCCAACGTAATAATTTAATAATGCAGTAACACCGATATTTTCTTCCGAGTACAAGATCATGGAAAGTTGTATGTATCTAGAATTTGATTGGACACTAAAAATGAAACGGCAAATCAAAACTCATTTTACATTTTTTTTATTCAAGGGAGAAAACTCGGTCTTGATCGGTCTTGGATATATCCCGGTATTCGTACCGGACATAAGGTCCGGAACTCGGAAAAAAATATCGGACCGGCCTGATTTTTGTCGGACATGTCCAACGGTCCGGCAACTTTCGCGAAGCCTGCTGGTGATACAGTAGAAAAAACTTTACAAGAAACGGTGAACTGTAAGATGACACAAGCCTAATAATTGACCATAGCAAATGCCCTGGAGTGGCAAATTTTTAACGTTGTGCATTTCTTAAGTTGAAGAACAGACAATGAAGATGTTTATGAGGTTTTTTTATCATTATTCAGAAGAAAGAGGCTGTCGCATTTGTTCACAGACATTAAAACTTTTCCTGGGGATTGCACACCACTGTTGGATACTTGATTATGAGTACATATATAAATCAATAGAAGCCGGATACTACCTACCTGAGGTAATACCTAAAATGAAGATAACCAGTTCTTTGTTCAGACATTACCAAAACTGAATATACGTGCATGTTCTTGTAAGGCCAAGTGTTATTTACAGATTTACAAACAGTTTCAGTTGGGAAGTTATAGAATCCTGTATATATTAACACAAACATTTATGTCAAGAATGTAACTGTTTAATGCAATTCACAAAAAAATCTCTTTTTTTCATATAGAATTTTTTTTAATGTTTAAAAAGGCATATTTTATTATTATTATTTTTTTTTTTGGTGTAACAAGTATTTTATGGGCATAGGATAAGAGAGATTGTTTGTTTTTTAGGATGAGTATGAAATTATGGGAAGTGAAGATATACCTAGTTGTTCAGGACCAGCTATATCTCGACAGACGATGACCCCTATTTTACGAGGGTACAGTTTTAAATTCAGTGGTGAGAGTAAAGATTTATCAAAAGGTATGCATTACATATTTGTTTTATAAGTTTATGATTCGTTTGTTTAGCAGACACCAATTTCATATAAAATAGTTGGTTTGCTTCAGATGCTTAAAAAAGATGATAAGGAAGATCTTGTCAAGTCATGACTACTGTTTTGTAAAATGTTTATTGTGAATAGAAATTTTGGTTTGCAAAGAGAATACTGCTTTTGTTTCTTTCACTAATTTGGTTAAAGCTACATTAAATGAATTTCTTAAAAACAGAAATAGCGACATTTAGTTAGTAAATTTGGTTTCATATCGACTCCAGATCTTATTATGGTGTCAAGGCAACCAAAATGAGTTTTATAAGCATAAACATCTGCGACCTCATTGTGGCGAAATCGTAATTTGCATGAGAAACTTCGCCTTCGGATCATCCGTACATCAATATTTAATCAACAAACATGGTTATAAGTAGCAGTCCTAATATAACGGAATATTTACGCATTGTAACGGTTGTTTTCATACAAATTTAATATTTTTATTAGATGATTACACTTCCCTGAACGCCATGCCAAGTGCACCGTGAAGCTAAAATGGTTAAAGTGTTTATGCACATAAAAATCTCGTATTTGCTGTGTTCTGTATAGCAACTATAGCACTGTGACGTAGCACATACATGAACTGATTATAGTCTTCATTTGCATGTTAAAATTCGTATACGAACTTTAGTGTTACCGTGGGGTTTTCCGTTTAAAATGGTAATTATGAACAATATTTGATGAGATTTACAACAATACTGTTAAAAAGGTTAATAAAACGGTAGAATGCTTGGTTATTAGGCCTACGGCAAACTATTTTTACATATTTATTTAATGTAACTTTAATTAAGGTCTTATGGGAAAATGTTGCATTTGAAATTTTAAAAGACTTCCATCAATTTAGCAATTCATTATCATATTTAGTCTTGTGTTCAATATACAGGCACTAAAGTATACTTCTATTCTATGAAATTTATTTTCAGATGTGGCTGAAGATATTGTGTTAGCACTTGGGGGACAGATAGGAGGAGGAGATGCTCAAACAATTTCCTTAGACGAGAATGGTTTGTTTCACTTTTATTTTTAAATTTTCCTACAATAACTGATTTGCTGAAAGTGCAAAAAAAGAAAGTACAGTTGAGAATGCCTTAACAATCTTCTGAATTAAATGACTCCCAGTCATGTGGGATGCTTTTTAGCTCGACTATTCGATAAGAATAAGTAGAGCTATTGCAGTCACCCGAGCGTCGGCGTCGGCGTAACCACTTATGTTAAAGTTTTTGTAATAGTTCAAATAATTTCAAAGTCCATTGACATATGGCTTTGAAACTTTGCACACTTGTTCACCATCATGACCCCAACCTGTAGACAGGAGGAGGTAACTCTATCAAGCATTTTGACAGAATTATGCCCCTTTTTCGACTTAGAATTTACGTTAAAGTTTTTGTAATAGTTCAAATATTTTCAAAGTCCATTGACATATGGCTTTGAAACTTTGCACACTTGTTCACCATCATGACCCCAACCTGTAGACAGGAGGAGGTAACTCTATCAAGCATTTTGACAGAATTATGCCCCTTTTTCGACTTAGAATTTACGTTAAAGTTTTTGTAATAGTTCAAATATTTTCAAAGTCCATTGACATATGGCTTTGAAACTTTGCACACTTGTTCACCATCATGACCCCAACCTGTAGACAGGAGGAGGTAACTCTATCAAGTATTTTGACAGAATTATGCCCCTTTTTCGACTTAGAATTTACGTTAAAGTTTTTGTAATAGTTTAAATATTTTCAAAGTCCATTGACATATGGCTTTGAAACTTTGCACACTTGTTCACCATCATGACCCCAACCTGTAGACAGGAGGAGGTAACTCTATCAAGCATTTTGACAGAATTATGCCCCTTTTTCGACTTAGAATTTACGTTAAAGTTTTTGTAATAGTTCAAATATTTTCAAAGTCCATAGACATATGGCTTTGAAACTTTGCACACTTGTTCAACATCATGACCCCAACCTGTAGACAGGAGGAGGTAACTCTATTAAGCATTTTGACAGAATTATGCCCCTTTTTTCGACTTAGAATTTACGTTAAAGTTTTTGTAATAGTTCAAATATTTTCAAAGTCCATTGACATATGGCTTTGAAACTTTGCACACTTGTTCACCATCATGACCCCAACCTGTAAACAGGAGGAGGTAACTCTATCAAGCATTTTGACAGAATTATGCCCCTTTTTCGACTTAGAATTTACGTTAAAGTTTTTGTAATAGTTCAAATATTTTCAAAGTCCATTGACATATGGCTTTAAAACTTTGCACACTTGTTCACCATCATGACCCCAACCTGTAAACAGGAGGAGGTAACTGTATCAGGCATTTTTTTTACTATCAAGCACTAAGAATAGTCGAGCATGCTGTCCTACCGACAGCTCTTGTTTATGCCCCTGACACAATTTGCTTTGAATTTAGTCTGATTTAAGCGACTCCCTGTCTTATGCGACAAGCGACCTTGAAATCAGACCCTCAGTTTACCTTTAAGACTGTTCTTAATGATTTGAGACCTTCCCCTGAATATTTTTACACAAAAAAGATTATGTTGGTTATCTCGCATGGCCTTTTTCGTCTTTGTAGTCAGTATCCGGCTGCCTCCTCAGGCTGAAATACTACCTTCTTTCCCCCTAAAAAAGTCTAAAATTCCCCTCCTGGTAAAGATTTCTACTATAAAATGAAAAATGAACAGAATAAAAACGTGTGACCTTTTTTCTTGATTCCCAAATTCGGTCTCTTCAAATAGTCTTGACTGTAAAGTGAAATGCTATGAAATGATAACTGAATATTGTTCAGTTTAGAACGCTTCTTCAGATAAATTTTTTTATCAACAAGTGTGGAGTGACTTCCTCAATTTATTTCATCAAAACTTTAATTTTTCCAAAAGTTCAGTATTTTGTTTATAGATAAATCATTTCAAATAATTGTCAAATTAAATGAAATGAGGTAGAAACTGAAATTTGCTGAAGATGAAATTCATATACATCAAGGAAACCCAACGATATTCTCAAAATATTGTTCAAATGATTCTGATCTGATGAACAAGATGGCCGCTTGAGCTAAAAATAGATTTTTTTTTAAAACTGTAAGGTAGATTTTGGTAAAACTACATTGGAATGATTCTTGCAAAGTCCAAAAGTTGTTCTGTTTATAAATTCTGGTCTGATGAACAAGATGGTTGCCAGGGATAAAAATAGAAAAACCTTTAAACGACACCTCCTTAACTCATTGGTAGATTTTGATGAAACTAGGGAAATTATCCTTGGATAGTTCCTTCCATAAATTGTTCAAATAATTCTCGATTATAAACTAGATGGAATCCAGAGCTATCAAATATATTTTGATAAAACTAACTTACTGTAGCCAATAATGTTGATTGTTCCTTGTCATTAAGAGCTATTATAATCAGGCCATCAAATAATTTTGTTTAATTTTGGTATAAAAAAGTGAGGTGAACATTTGTAACACATGTTTTATGTACATGTATTTAGGTTTAAAAGATTACACAAGATTTTTAACTTTCAGGAGGTCAGAACACTGTGTCCAGAGATTGGCTTTTTGACATGTTATGTTTCTACCAGTATTTGGAGCCAGAAAGTTACATTCATAAGAATTCTAGGTAACTAAGTGTCTTCTTTTAATCTAGGTTTGCAGCTTTGAATAAAGTAAGCGAAAAATGTAGATACACTTTGATGCATTTTACTTTCAACATCCATTTTCAGCTAAAAAGGTCAAGGTAATTTTGTGTGTGGATACATCTTGATAAGTTCTACCTCCCACACACAGAGTCAGGTTGGCAAGTCAAAGGTCAATGTCATTTGGAATTGTTAACATAAAAATGCAGCAAAGTGTGTTTTACCAGAATTTATTTTTTACACAATGATGAATTTATCTTCATACACAGATTTATAGTATGTTGTAAAATAGAGAAAATATGAAATCCCTGAAGACAGTCTAAAATGACATAAAGGCTCGGTTTGATTGAGCTGTTCATGGGCTGTAATGGAAAGTGCAAGAAACCGTCCACGCCCCCTAGCACCGGCTTTAGCAGACAAACTATCAAATACATTGTACTGCTTTTATTTACGTGAGGCAAAAGAAGACTTGCTTTCCTGTATTGCCCACTCATATTTTAGAGAAATGGAATCAAGCATTTTAAACAATAAGTGTCACTGCTAGGGTTTTTTTGCTTCTGACTCAATCATGATGAGCCCTCAACATTATTATTTGTAAATAGAAAGTAAGTCATCATTTGGAGACTTGACTACATTGTGTATTATAGTACAAAGAAGTACCAGTGTTTAAACGATTATCGTTTAGGTTCTTAGCGATCATGTAAACATTTACAAAAAAATGTAAACATGGGAGCCTTAATAGTTAATCAGCTTAAGTCCTCACAAAGAGGTGTTTGGCTTGAGTCCTACAAATCTTTGCTGAAGTCCTCACTGAATAAGCACTTGATCAACAGGCAAATTATTTTATGCACAAGTCCTCACAAAGTTAAGACAGGGAAAAAACTACATCTTAAAAGCATAAAATATACATACACAAATTAGTTTTAATTTTAAATAGCAGAAATTATTTTCAAGTGATATATATGCCAGTGTTTCGTCTACAGTTACTGTGCCTTTCTCAAATTTGTAAACCAAGAAGCAAACAAGTTAAATGACACATCTTTCAACAATGGGATAAAGACCAACCATAACCACATGAGCAGTTATTCCTATCCAAGTCCTCGATGAAAATCAGCAGTTTACAAAATATAAAAAAATAACCCTATCTAGTATCAAAATAAATGAAATGTTTGCTTCATGTAACAGTAGGTGGACAAATTGCAGTTGTTTTGAACTAATCTGTATTTGATACACCTTTGTTGTTCTTCTATAAATTCCTTAAAATCATGGCCAGAAAATGTGTATTTAACAAAAAATGGCAAATTAATTATCCTGCTTAGGTTGAAGATTGTGGCGATAAATGTGCAATAAATATGCTTGAAAAATGGGAAAACATGCGTAAATAGTGCTTAAAAAATCCTTAAATTTTGGCATTTATGTCTGTATGAACCCTGATTCATCTAGAAATGACTTTACATTTTCTGTTATTTTTTTTTTCAGTGACAGGAATACCTTTAAAGGTGAGGAACAATCAGAGATTGATACTGAACAATCTTTCACTCATAATATAGTCAACAGGAACATCATTTCCAAACAATTAGATACAGGTACAGAAGCAATGGATACACAGAACTTGTTAATTATGAACTTAAAGGCTCCGGAAGTACCAATAATAGGGACAGAAATCTTGGTTGCACAGAAATTGGTAGATTTAGATACAGAACAATTCGTTTCACCAATCTTGAGCACAGAAGAACAATATGATTTAGATACCGAACAATCTGTGAAACAGGAATTAGATGATGGGAACTTGAAGGCTAAAGAACAATTGGATATAAAAACAGAAAAATATTTTACTCAGAATATTGCAAGTATGAACTTGAATGCTAGAGAACAATCAAATACAGAAGGATCACAAGCACAGAATATGGATACTGAAAGTCATTTTGAGGAACAATCATTAACTGACACTGAACTGTCAGATGTATCAAATTTAGATAGCTCTTATTTTGATGACTCTAATGATGAAGATTATTTTCCATCACAAGTAAGTGAAAATGAATACGATTTCAGTGAAAGTGAAAGCACAATCTACCCTGTACAAAATTATGGCTTCAATAAAATTGTTATATCTCCTAAACATGACAACAATAACTGTGAAAGTGATGAATCAACAACACAAGTGCTAGACATTGACAAAGTAAACAATCCTATTCCAACCCTCTCTGTAAGAGACATACAATGTGATGAGACTGAAATAGGGGTTAATATAGAACATCAAACAGTAAAAATTGCTATAAGTAAAAAGACAAAAGATGGGAAAAGAGTTTGGGATAAAAAGCATGCTTGTACATATTGCAAAAAACAGTACCCAAAACTTGCTAGGCATTTAGAACAAGTTCATGCAAATGAAATAGATGTTCAAAGAGCATTAGCTTTCAATAAAAATTCCAAGGAAAGGAAAGAAGTCTGGAGGGAAATCATGAATAGGGGTGATTTTGAACATAATGTTGATGTTCTTGAGAAACAGCAAGGTGAAATAATACCATTTAAACGTCCATCTAGGCAAGTAGACGGACTAAAGTATGTACAATGTGCAACCTGTTTCGGAACATTTAGAAGCAGTGTGTTATGGAGACATGTCAAGAATAGTCATCCTGAAAGTGTTAAGAAAACAACAAAACTTAAAAAACATCACCAAGTGTCAAGTGCAGCTTTATTACCGGTGGCAGGTGTAGTTGCAGACAAATTTCGAGACTTCATATTGAACAGAATGGCAAATGATAAAGTATCATTAGTTGCCAGAAATGATAATGATATTGTCAGATTTGGACAAAAAATGTTTCAAAAGACTGCCACTAACCATCATCAGAACCAGTATGTTAGGCAAAAGATGAGAGAACTTGCAAGATTCCTTGTCTCTGTCAGAGCTATTGATAACACAGTGACAACATTAAGGGACTGCATTAACAGTATTAAATTTTCTGCATGTGTAAAGGCAGTTAAGGAATTGTGTGAATACAACGAAGATGATTTTACATTTAAGATACCTTCACTAGCAAAAAAAATTGGCCACTCCTTACATAAAGTAGCACGGCAAGTAAGGACTGAAGCAGCAAAGACGGGAGATGGTGAATTGAGAAGACAAGCAAAATCTTTTATTGAAGTCTACATAGAAGACTGGGAGACAGAAATAAGTCACTTTGCTCTTCAGACCCTGGAAACTGAAAAGTACAACAAGCCAAAAAGAATTCCATTGGCTCAAGACTTGAAAGCTTTAACAACTTACCTTAAAAAGGAAGCAGCAATTTTGTTGGACTTATTTGACTCAGATCAAGCCTCTGATACAGAATGGAGAGAACTCTGCAAAGTAACTCTTGCAGAAACTGTTCTTTTTAATAAAAGGAGATCAGGAGAAGCTGAGAGATTAGAAGTAAAACAATACTTAGATGGAATTCAGCATGGGAAAAACAGCCAAGAGGAGGTACTACAATCCCTTTCTCCTTTGGAGAAGAAACTATCTGAAATTGTCGATAGGATAGAAATTAGAGGCAAACGAGGAAGAAAAGTTGCAATATTAGTCCATCACAATTTAAGAAAGCAGCTTGACACTCTGGTAAAGAATCGAACTCTAGGCTGCATTGATGAAAGCAATAAGTATGTGTTTGCTAGACCAGGAGATGCTGAATTCCCAATGAGGGCTGCAGATGTTCTTAGGAAGTATGCAAATGAGTGTGGAGCTAAACAACCAGAACTTCTCAACTCTACCTCATTTCGGAAACATATAGCTGTCATTGTTCAGATGCTTAATTTAAAGGATAATGAACTAGATGTTTTAGCTGACTTCCTAGGTCATGACATTAGAGTTCACAGAGAGTTTTACAGGCTTCCACAAGACACAATGCAGGTAATGTTAGATTTTTAAAATTTAAATTAATCAGTATAATGATTGGTAATTGCAACCTTATTGTATTAAATATATTGTTCTACATTTATTAAACTTATTATTTATGTATATGATGAGGTCAAAAGGATTCAGTTTTGCTAAGTCCAGCTTATTGAGCATTAAAGCAATTCAGATCCTTGAAACAAAATTGTTAAGATTGTTCATTTATAGGTATGAAAGTTAAGGGTGTAACGGTTTACCGGTATACCGATATATTGCAATATGAAAAAATAAATTTCGAACCGCGGTACGATTTTTGGAAAACCGGTATTTTATAAAAATCATCATTTTCAATTAATTGCCTTCTAATTTTGTACAAATTCACATAATATCTTTAATTGGCAAATTTTGTTGGCGCCAACGTAAGATAAAAGTATCCGACAACTAGTACACTTAAAAGTCAATAAGCGGCCGCATAATTTACATAAGCGGCCCAGATGTGAAAGGTCACACGCGACTAGTTTTGTTTATCAAATTGTGTGACACTACTTTCTATTTATTCCTTACATTTTTATTAAGTTTCTACTAAAAATATACATATAATAATAATATATAAATGTTACTCCATCTTTACATCAAAACATATACACGACAATACGTATTGCAATATATTGCAATACGCTTCAGCAAAATGGCAATATATTGCAATACGGTTGTTGCTGTATTGTTACACCCTTAATGAAAGTGTTAATAGCTTTCAAGTTCTATAAGGTGACACATTAGAGACTTATAGTTTTACCCAATTGTAATGATAATGAGGGAAACTAAGAATAATATGCATGGCGTTCAAGTAACATGATATAACTAATCTATGAAATGTTGCGGTCATAATTATTTTGGTCTGATCTCCATGAAACTGGATAAGATAGTTTGTGCTAGAATCTGTTGTCAAAGATAAAATATTTGTCAAGTTTGTAAAAAAAAGATCACTCAACAATTGATGCATTGGAGACTTCAATATACTGCGGTTATAAAATATTGACCAAATGTTCATGAAGCATGTTTAATATATCTAAATGAGATCAAGATTATTTTGTCTGGTAAAAACTGTCAGTACGGCAAAGTGTCTTATTAGTTGTGTAATTATTAAGTGTTTTATAAGCTATTTACTAAAATCATTAGATTTTGAGAACATGCCATCAATTGATGTTGAAAGGAACCTATGTATTTTCTATTTAAATTGTTAAGAGATGAATACTGAAATGAATTACAGTTTAAGTGAAAAAAAAATCATTTTTTCAGGTCGCAAAAATCAGTAAAATACTTCTAGAGATGGAAAAAGGCAACATACAACAATATAAAGGAAAGAGCCTAGATGAAATCGAGTTTGATTTAGAAGGTATTTTTGTTTCTGGAATGTAGTTTCAATCAGTGTGAGGACTTGCACAGTGTTAGAAATAGTTTTTAAAGTTATCTTACTTTAACATGACACTCAATTTATAAGTTGCCCAACATTGAATGTTCCATTTTTCTTCATTATAAATTTAGGAATTATTCTCAAATTGCCCAAATTAATCTCTGCTGTGGACTTACACATCACAATGAATCAGTGTGAGGACTTGTACCCTCACAAGAGCTTTGCCAACTTATTGACATTTCTGCACATTCAAAATGAAGTCCTCAAAAAGGTGGGATTATAAAAGTCATATATTTGTAACCTAAGTATCATTGAAAATAAATTCAATCATCAGCACTTCTATGAATTTTGAGCTTACTCTTAGTAAATATCCTGCAAAATATTGTATTTCTTCACATTAATGAATTTGTATACAAGGTGCTGGTCATTTAACGCTTAAAAATTACTAACGTATCTGTTATATACCTAAGCACTATGACCAATTTACTTCATTAACCAGGTTTTCAAAGAAAACCGGGTTATTGTAATGCCGAAGTCAGCAGGCTGGCGGGCGTCAACTTTTGGTTTCCACTCAATAACTTTAGTTTGCTTTGGCCTATTGACACCAAACTTGGTGTGTAGGTAGCTTATATCAAGAGGCAGCTTGGATTGCTACCAGTGTCTGTGATCAAAGGTCACTGTTACTAAAAATAGAAATTCAGTTTCCGCTCAATAACTTGAGTTTGCTTTGGCCTATTGACACCAAAACTTGGTGTATGGGATAGCTTATATCATGAGGCAGCTTGGGATTGCTACCCAGATGTCTGTGATCTAGGTCAAGGTCACTGTTACTAAAAATAGAAATTCTGTTTCCCCTCAATAACTTGAGTTTGCTTTGGCCTATTGACACCAAACTTGGTGTATGGATAGCTTATATCAAGAGGCAGCTTTGGATTGCTACCCAGGTGTCTGTGATCAAGGTCAAGGTCACTGTTACTAAAAATAGAAATTCAGTTTCCTCTCAATAACTTGAGTTTGCTTTGGCCTATTGACACCAAACTTAATGAATGGGTAGCTTATATCATGAGGCAGGTTGGGATTGCTTCCCAGATGTCTGTGAATAAGGTTAATATATTTAGTTTTCATATTATAACTTGAGTTTGCTTTGACCTTTTGACACCAAACTTGCTGAGTGGCAGCTTTGAATTGCCACTTAGATATCTGGGAGCAAGGTCAAGGTAATTTGCTTACAATAGAATTTTCAGTATCTACTCAATAACTTCAGTGCACCTTGACCTATTGATTGCTGTCCCATCAAAACTTGGTCGTTGAAAACCTGGTTTTTGTCGCATTGCGGCGCTTCTTGTGTTTACATTGTTTCTGGAATGTAGTTTCAATCAGTGTGAGGACTTGCACAGTGTTAGAAATAGTTTTTAAAGTTATCTTACTTCAACATGACACTCAATTTATAAGTTGCCCAACATTGAATGTTCCATTTTTCTTCATTATAAATTTAGGAATTATTCTCAAATTGCCCAAATTAATCTCTGCTGTGGACTTACACATCACAATGAATCAGTGTGAGGACTTGTACCCTCACAAGAGCTTTGCCAACTTATTGACATTTCTGCACATTCAAAATGAAGTCCTCAAAAAGGTGGGATTATAAAGTCATATATTTGTAACCTAAGTATCATTGAAAATAAATTCAATCATCAGCACTTCTATGAATTTTGAGCTTACTCTTAGTAAATATCCTGCAAAATATTGTATTTCTTCACATTAATGAATTTGTATACAAAGTGCTGGTCATTTAACGCTTAAAAATTACTTAAGTATCTGTCATATACCTAAGCACTATGACCAATTTACTTCATGTTTACATTGTTTCTGGAATGCAGTTTCAATCAATGTGAGGACTTGCACAGTGTAAGAAATAGTTTTTATAGTTATCTTACTTCAACATGACACTCAATTTATAAGTTGCCCAACATTGAGTGTTCCATTTTTCTTCATTATAAATTTAGGAATTATTCTCAAATTGCCCAAATTAATCTCTGCTGTGGACTTACACATCACAATGAATCAGTGTGAGGACTTGTACCCTCACAAGAGCTTTGCCAACTTATTGACATTTCTGCACATTCAAAATGAAGTCCTCAAAAAGGTGGGATTATAAAGTCATATATTTGTAACCTAAGTATCATTGAAAATAAATTCAATCATCAGCACTTCTATGAATTTTGAGCTTACTCTTAGTAAATATCCTGCAAAATATTGTATTTCTTCACATTAATGAATTTGTATACAAAGTGCTAGTCATTTAACGCTTAAAAATTACTTACGTATCTGTTATATATCTAAGCCCTATGACCAATTTACTTCATGTTTACATGCACAATCGAGGCGTCTAAGGTCGTTGAATTCAAGCCCCATGCCACATGGCCCTCACTACTGTGGGTTTGAATCCCGACATTGACTTACAGTGATTTTTTTACCTCTGCATCCTGAGTCCAGGACTCATTGAATTTGCTGTGGATGCAAAGTTGCAAATAATGTGCATCTTTTGGATGCATACTTTTTCTGAGTAGGGAGTCCTGTCTGATAGGAATTTGGTAATAAATACCAAATTGTGTTAAAGTTATGTCTGCAAATCTTCTACAGATAAGAAATAATAATGTGCTATACTATAGATAAGCATAAAAATATTAAGAAAAATGAAGTTTTGATTAATCTCAAACTAAATTAATGGAAATAAACTTATTAAATTTATTTGACAGTTTTGAATAATTTCAGTATCAGAAACATTGTAATTAATGGAGAAATCAAATTCATTTTTTCTTCATTCCATTGTTTATATACCTTTCATATCACTAAAGCAATATTAAGCCTTGTAACTTAGATTTGTCGGCTAAATTTTGGGTCTCATAGATTTATAGCCAAGCGAGTCCTAGGGCCCACACTGATGAGTTTGTAAAAAAATCACTGACTTTGGAGTCTTTCATTTTAGGAAGCTATCCAGCTAGCTTATGGAATGTCAGTGGTTCTACTCAGGTGCCCGTATGTGCCTGAAAAAATGCAAAAAAACTCCATCACCAATATTTTCAGATTTATCTCCCCTTGAACTTAGAAGTTTCCTTAAAAAATATTATTTTTTACTGTTACCTATTTATTTCTGAAGGGATCAACTTCATACTTCGGATATATGTACCTTATCACCATCCACATCTTATGTGACAAGGTTCATAACTCTAGCACAAATATTGCAAGAATCATCTCCCCATCAGCTTAGATTTTTTTTACTAGAAAAATGTTATTTTTTACTTTAACTTTTTAGCTCACCTGTCACTTTGTGACAGGATGAGCTTTTGTGATCGCTTTTCGTCCGGCCGTCCGGCTTCCGTAAACTTTTACTTTAAATGACATCTCCTCAGAAACCACCAGGCCAATTTCATCCAAACTTCACAGGAATGTTCCTTTGGTGGTCACCTTTGAAAATTGTTCAAATAATTTCATTCCATGCAGAACTCTGGTTGCCATGGCAACCAAAAGAAAAAACTTTAAATATCTTCTTCTAAAAAACCCAAAGAGATATTTGGCATGAAACATCTTCTAGTGAGTGTCTACCAAGTTTGTTCAAAATTGGCCCTGTCCCAGGGGGTCATTGATTTTCCCATATGTATATAGTAAAAAATTAAAAAATCTTCTTTTAAAGAACCCAAAGAGCTAGAGCTAAGATATTTGGCATGAAACATCTTCTAATTGGTGTCTACCAAGTTTGTTCAAATAAAAGCCCTGGGGTCAAAATTGGCCCCGCCCCAGGGGATCATTAATTTTCCCTATATGAATATAGTAAAAACTTGAAAATCTTCTTTTAAAGAACCCAAAGAGCTAGAGCTAAGATATTTAGCATGAAGGATGTCTACCAAGTTTGTTCAAATAAGAGCCCTGGGTCAAATTTGCCCCGCCCCGGGGGACATTGATTTTCCTGATATGTGTATAGCAAAAACTTCAAAATCTTCTTCGAAAAAACCGGAATAGCTTGAGTTTAGATATTAAGCATTAAACATCTTCTAGTAAGTGTCTACAAATTTTGTTTAAATAAAAGCCCTGGGGTCATAACTGGCCCTGCCCAAGGGTGTCATTGTTTTTAGATATATGTGTTAAGAAAAAACTTAAAAAATCTTCTTTTTAAAAACCCAACAAGCTAGATCTTAGATGTTTAGCAGGAAACATCTTCTAATGGGTGTCTACCAAGTTTGTTCAAATAAAAGCCCTGGGGTTTAAACTGGCCCCGCTCCGGGGGGCCTTTATACAGGTGAGCGACTTCAGGGCCACAGGAGACAGCGAAGCTCGACTAATAAAATACTGGACGCAGTAAGGACAAAACTATGAAAGAAAAATCAATTATGTATAATTATGTATTAAGTTATAGTAAAAAAATAACATTTGTTAACATAAATTCCAAGATCAAGGCCTGGTGGTTTCTGAGGAGATGTCATTTAAAGTAAAAGTTTACGGAAGCCGGACGGCCGGACGAAAAGCGATCACAAAAGCTCATCCTGTCACAAAGTGACAGGTGAGCTAAAAAATTCTGTTTTGTTTTACCTAAACATACTTTGTGACTAATTTCAGGCTTTTCCCTTCTTTAAATGTTTTATTTGATAAATCATCCAATTATGATAAAGAAAATTGACGGCCATTTTAGTGGTCACTTTAAATGGCCATTTCAATGGTCAAGATCAAGTTTTTCAATTTGGTATCCACCTTTATCGGATTCAGCAAACCTTAAATAGGTAAAATACACCAAGATACCACTTGTACTACAAAATGCCTCTAGCATCTTATACCGGGCCAAACTCTCAAATTCAGTCCTGTCTAAAAGAGATATTGTAACTATTCTGATAGATTAAGTATCAACTTCTATATGATATGAAATGATATTATGTTGAAGAACCCTATTATTTGCTATATAACCATACTGTCAGGTCATTTATGGCACACTTACCTATAAATATTTGTTGTCAATAATACAAATTACTATCAACAATAAATTAGTGGAAGTTGCTTATTATTTTAAATACTGTGACAGGAAAACCAAGAAAAGCACCTTACATGGGCTTATTAAGTGTCAAGTGAAGCCTGACACATTCAAACATGAAAGAAAGAAAGTCATGAGCGGGAAATTATACATAAAAAAATCCCACGAAAAATCAGCACTTAAATATATAAGGCCAATTAGCACGAAGGAAAAGCAACGGCCGCTGTGGTGTAGTGGTTAGCATACTGGACCGGCAATCCAGAGACCCGTGGTTCGAGTCCTGGCTGCGGCGTGCTGATTTTTCGTGCGATTTATATATATACATATATATATGTGTGTGTGTGTGAATATAAAACCCTAATAGTTATATATGTTTACACTTCTTCAGAAACTCTAGAGCCAGAACAAGTAAGTGATGATGATGGTGATGAAAAAGACATAAATATGACCACACCAACAACAAGTAATACAACTATCCCTAAACCAACAAATGAGAGAGTAAAAATTTCTGGAAAACGTAAAATGTGGACATCATCAGAGGAAGCTTCGGTTAAAAAACATCTGGGAAAATTTTTATACCAAGATAAACTTCCCGGGAAGAACGAAATAGAGAAAATCAGAAAAGAAGATCCAATTCTTTCACAAAGACCATGGATCCAAATTAAAAGTTATATAAAAAACAAAAAAGTCTCTATGAAAAAAAAAACTAGAGAAGTAAATTTCACTTGTGGTTAATGAATTGAGTCGTTATCCCCCGCCAATGGAATTGGAAGGGGGATATTGTTTTGGCATTGTCCGTCCGTCCGTCCGAATTTCGTTTCCCGAATAGTTCTCTGCAACTATTTGTTGAAATTCAACGAAACTTTATGAGAATCATCAATATCAAGAGGAGATGCGCATATCATCAGCTTGTTCTGGTCAGACCCTTTAAATTAGAGTAAAGGCCCTTGATTAGTTATGCAATACGCATATAGAGTAAAAATCGTTTCCGGACTAGTTCTCTGCAACTACTGGCTTGAATTCAACGAAACTTTATGGGAATCATCAATATCAAGAGGAGATGCACATTTCATCAGCTTGTTCCTGTAAGACCCTTTAACTCAGAGTTATGGCTCTTGATTAGTTATGCAGTATGCATATAGATTAAAAATTGTTTCCGCACTACTTCTCTGCTACTTCTGGCTGTAATTCAATGAAACTTTATGGGAACCTTCAATACCAAGAGGAGATGAGCATATCATGCCTTGTTCCGGTCAGACACTTTAACTCAGAGTTTTGGCCATTGATTAGTTATGCAGTATGCATATAGAACAATATTCGTTTCTGGGCTACTTCTCTGCAACTTCTGGCTAGAATTCAATGTAACTTTATGGGAACATTCAATATCAAGAGGAGATGTGCATATCATCAGCTTGTTCAGGTCCGACCCATTAATTAAGAGTTATTGCCCTTGAATAGTTACACAGTATGCATATAGAGTAAAAATCGTTTCCGCCCTTCTTCTCTGCAACTACTGGCTGGAATTCAACAAAATTTTATGGTAACCTTCAATACCAAGAGGAGATGCGCATATCTTCAGCTTGTTCTAGTCAGATACTTTACCACATAGTTTTAGGCCTTGATTAGTTGTGCAGTAAGCATATAGAACAATATTCATTTCTGCGCTTGATAGATATATAAATAAAGCCTTATGTCTTCAGTTGTTGTGTTAGTAATAAACAGTACTCGGCGGGGGATATAAATTAAACGAATTTGCTTGTTAGTTCACAAAATGTGTTGTTCACAGGATTTTTTTTGCCCGAAATTCTTTCGGGCATACTATGTTATACCCCCTGGTGTCCGTCTGTCTGTCCATCCATCGGTCTGTTAGCAATTTGGTTTCCAGAGCATAACTTAAGTTCTATTTGGCCCACAATATTCAAACTTCATAGGATGATTGTCCATATTGGGTAGAACACCCATATCGGTTTTGGGGTCACAAGGTCAAAGGTCAAGGTCACTATTACCTTAACACAGAAAACGGTTTCCGGAGCATAACTTAAGTGCCATTTAGCCCACAAGATTCAAACTTCATAGGATGATTGTCCATATTTGGTAGAAGACCCCTATTGATTTTGGGGCCACACGGTCAAGGTCACTATTACCTTGACACTGAAAACGGTTTCCAGAGCATAATTTAAGTTCCATTTGGCCCACAATATTCAAACGTCATAGGATGATTGTCCATATTAGGTTAAAGCCCCTATTCATTTTGGGGTAATTTTATATGCCCTAATATATATCCATGGCGTCTTTCTGTCCGTCTCTTGTAGTAAAATTATTGAAGTCCCATGTCTTACAAATGCTTCATCCTTACTAAAAAAAGTCACTTTCGGGCATATAATGCTCCGCCTAGCGGTGCTCTTGTTTTTGTTGTGTGTAACCTCAATCTGGAATTAGCACAATTTTGTGCTTCATGTGAAATTTCTTGTAGGCAGGAGGTTTGTTACTCTGTTATAATTTTTTGTTTATGTAATACTGACATGACATGTATCATTGCCAAGTATATTTCTACAAAAGCTATCTAAATTATGAACCTGGCTCTACAATGGGCTGCTTACTTTATGTAGATTTAAAGTGACATTATGCTCATCCAAGGTGAGTGAAGGGTGAAGAACAAAATAAGTTTTCATTTTTGTCATAATTCCTTTTCACGTAACCAGTAAATAACTCACAGATCCAAACGAAATTTCTGTTAAAATCCATTAGTTTATAAAAAGAGTGGGGCAGTCTTTTTATATTTTAGGCAGATTTATAATTTTATCTTTAACATTTTCCAATATCAACTGTTGGTCCAACACCATTTTGACAATAAATTTTTTGAAATATAAAGTAAATTCAGCTCAACTTGACTTTGAAAATATGAGCATAATGTCACTTTAAAGTAAACATCTCTTAAAATTTAAATTAGACTATAGATATTTTGTTTGAAGCATCACGTTGTAAGTAATGTACTCGGGGGTTAAAATTAGCTGTACCCCATGGGTCATTCCTCTACTAAATTTAAAGAAATCAAAGTTGTGTATAAATTATGGCCAGTTATATGTTGGCGTGCCGTTAAAATCCAAACAAAACAAAAACAAATGAGCCGCGTCACGACAAAACCAACATAATGTGTTTGCGACCAGCGTGGATCCAGACCAGCCTGCGCATCCGCGCAGTCTGATCAGGATCCATGCTGTTCGCTAACAAACCCTATAGCAAGTAGAGAAACTGATAGCGAACAGCATGGATCCTGATCAGACTGCGCAGATGTGCAGGCTGGTCTGGATCCATGTTGGTCGCAAACCCATTATGTTGGTTTTGTCGTGATGCGGCTCAAATTAATTTATCACAATTTGTTTATATTCTATAGATTTTGATATACTATAACATGTATAGTAAACGTGTTAAGCATTGTTTGTGAAAAACTTAAATGTTTTCAAATATTTTATGAATTGTGCAGCTATACAAATAACTTACATTTGTTTGAAAATTTTGCAGTGTATCTCAGTTGCGCTATCCCTTGTTCTTTTGTAGTTTAACCCTTAATATTTTAAATGGACTTTCCCGTTTTTAAATCTGGACACAAGCATTGATCATTTTTAGGGAAAAATTGAGTATTAACTGAATGAATAGAGAACAGTGCAGACCATGATAAGTAGACATGGATGTGCCGGCTGATCTTGGTATGAACAGGTTGCATGGGTAGATTCTGTGGCCGACTGCAGGCTAAAGGTTAATTTGATTGCCTTTGTAAAAAGAAAAAGTGTTGCCCTTTCAAGTGGTAGATTTTTGTTATGATTAACCTATCTAAAATATCAAATGATTCATTCTTTATGAAAAATGCAATTGTTATCATGTTCAATTAGTGTTGATAAATACTTAATTAATGTCACGAAATATTTTGTTTCAAACAAGACATTTCATGGTCACCTGAGCACAACATGCTCATTTCATTATGTATATATCTAGCTCACCTGAGCATGCTCATAGTAAGCTATTATGATCCCCCAGTGTCTGTCCTTGTGAGATGTCATATTATTGCTTTAAAAAGCATCTCTAAAAACCAAGACTGCACATTAACTACACTATAGGAATAATCCTTGGGTGGCCCTTTTCAAAGTTGTTCAGTTGGTTCTCGTTTGTTACATATGTAGGTTAAGGGGGCCAGAAAAGAAATGTCAAAATGCATATTTAATGAATATTTTTGTCTGAAACTACATGCCCTGGGCTTTGATATTTGAAATCTATCATCGGAAGGTTCTTTACCAAAGTTGCCCTTAGTGCCAAAATTGGCCCTACCCCTAGGAGTCTTATTCGGGGTCATTTATTTTTGTTATGTACATGTCATATAACTCGATCTTTGATATTTGGTTTATGATATCTATAGGTCTTCTACAGCTGTTCAGATTTTGCCTCTAGTGTCCAAATTAGCCTTTCCCTGACCTTACCCTAAGGATAACTTCATTTTTTTAGACTTTAATAGATAAACACATTTAAGCCTTATTTTCTCTAACTTAAATGCACAAAGCTAAAATATTTGGCATGTGATATTGCTTAATGAACCACTGGAAAATGTATCTAAATCATGTCCGTCAGGTCAAAATTTCCCCTGCTCAAGGGGGGATGAGGGCATGATTATATTCACCGGCAAGGCAAAAAGGTATCTTCATGTCTAACTGTATCTAGAGCTTAAATATTGGATGATTGACATTGCCTTATGAGCTTATACAAAAGAAAATTATAATGCCGCATGAGTTAACATTGGCCTTGCCATAGGGGTCATTTGATTAATATAGAATTGTGTTAACTTGTTTCAATACATATTAAACTATAATAGGTAAACTTTATATATGGATTCACCTGGACAAGTAGTCATGACGAGTAGATGACCCCTATTGATTTTGAGGTCACCAGGTCAAAGGTCAAGGTCACAGGGGCCTTGACTTCAAAAAGCTTGTCCCCCCAAAAACTTAAGATTCCTTTGACCCACTGTCTTCATATTTGGCATGGAGGTTAGTCATGACGAGTAGATGACCCCTATTGATTTTGAGGCCACCAGGTCAAAGGTCAAGGTCACAGGGGCCTTGACTTCAAAAAGCTTGTCCTCCCAAAAACTTAAGATTCCTTTGACCCACTGTCTTCATATTTGGCATGGAGGTTAGTCATGACGAGTAGATGACCCCTATTGATTTTGAGGCCACCAGGTCAAAGGTCAAGGTCACAGGGGCTTTGACTTCAAAAAGGTTGTCCGTCCAATAACTTAAGATTCCTTTGACCCACAGTCTTCATATTTGGCGTGGAGGTTAGTCATGATGAGTAGATGACCCGTATTGATTTTGAGGTCACCAGGTCAAAGGTCAAGGTCACAGGTGCATTGACTTCAAAAAGCTTGTCCGCCCAATAACTTAAGATTCCTTTGACCCACAGTCTTCATATTTGGCATGGAGGTTAGTCATGACGATTAGATGACCCCTATTGATTTTGAGGCCACCAGGTCAAAGGTCAAGGTCACAGGGGCCTTGACTTCAAAAAGGTTGTCCGTCCAATATCTTAAGATTCCTATGACCCACAGT